GTTCGTTATCGCTTATTCGTTTAACGAATAAATAATCTTTAAACAAGCAAACGGGAGCAATTTTTATCTTTCTCTTCTTCATACTCCAAGAAGTCCTTAAGTACTTATTTCAAAGCACCGCATAAGAGAATTTAGCTAGTTTGCACCTCCTTTTTTACCAGTGTATTTGTCCGCACCTCTTTTTTTATAATCTGTTCAGAACAAGCATCGAACCTTGAGCTTCTTAGTTCAAAGTCAAATTTTTAACCACTGCGTCTTGGCTGCTTTACTTGTGTTGTCGTTTACAAATCATTCATAAACATTGAGCAGCTTTGCAGCTGGCAAGTTAAAGAATAATATTTCTCATTGTTTTTTTTTTTTTATTTTTCTCATATAGCTTTTTTACTGCACTGGCTGTGTAAAGTTTTCAATGTTGGTAAGACTTTGGCTTGCATCTCCTCGGCATCTATTATAACTTCAGTAGCGGTATCCTTGACATTTGCGTATTTTTTCACGTCAAGTGCGAAAATAATTGCTTTGTCTTAAATCAAAAAAATGGGCCATTGAACATTTAAATATTATGGGGTGCATTACGATCAAAATCAGGAAAACGTTTTTGAATTCCTCAGAGAAGATTTTCAGTTACATTCTTGGCACATGTAAGAGAATTTAATATCTTTTATGGTATTAGCTCTGTTAAGAGTGGGCATCCCACTTTTAACATTACTCAACCTTTTTCACATAACAGCCAAGTACCCTTTCAGATCAATAATGGATTTTAACTGCCTCAGATCAAAATTCCAACAAGTTATTACGCCCTGTATAAGTGTAGTTTGCGATTGCTAATGCTTAATAGCAATTTTTCTTAAACTACTTGTGGCTTTAGAAGAATGACTAATATAATTACTTGTGGCTTTAGAAGAATGACTAATGTGTACAATTAATAGTTTTAATGTGCTGAAATTTCTTATTGCTCAGGATTTCAGGCTCATGCTAAAGCATGTATGATATCTAAATAGATCTAATGATCAGCACAGCGAAAGTTATTGTTGATAACTTTGCTATTCGCATACTTTTCATCACATTTGAAACTTCATCAGCTGCTGATAACGTATATTTTTTTCTTCTTCAAATTCAAGCGTTTTATTAATTAATTTATATAAAGCAAGAAGTGTTTTGAAAAAACATTCATTAACTCAACTATATTACTCTTTTATACACTGTAATATTATTTATGCTAATATTAGATGGGTTAATACCCATAAAAATAAATTAAAGCCACTTTATTGTCAGCAGAAGCGTATTGCACGTTTTATAAATTTCAAAAATCGTTTTACTCACTTAAGGCCACTCTTATTTAACATGAATGTTTTTAATATATATCAAGTAAATGTTTATAATGTTTTTCGTTTTATGTTAAAATGTAAAACCAACTCATCTCCAGCTTCCTTTTGGCTTGACACGCAGTGACACCATCATTTGACTTTCTAAATTTTTCTACACCATCTTTTGGAAAAACTTGAAGCGCATTTGGATGTACCTAGTGGAATCATATTCATATGATTTTCGTTTATTTATTAATTAATCAACAAATAAGATTAGTGTAATTGTAAGATACATTTAAGTAACAAGGTTCAGTGATCGTATAGATGCGAGTAAGATGCGAGACGTATTTGTTTATCAAGAATATTATGATATTATTGTTTTCGCTTGAGTCATGCGGTTCAGAAGAATAAGTATTTTAATTCAAGCCATAATGACCATAACTAAAGAAAAGTTTAAAATTTGTATCAATTTATTTATTTTTGTTTTTTCTAAAATCTAAATTAAGTTCAACAGCGGTTCTCGGTAACAAGACCTGTATGGTCTTCTTTGAGTATCCGCGTTCTTTATCTTTATTCTTTATTTTTTAACAATTTCTTTGCATGTATGTTTGTATTTCTTTTAACAATTTCTTTGCATCTAGTTTTTCAACAATATTAAAGAAAAGGATGAAGTTTAACAAAAAGTTGTTCAAGCTGAAAAAAAAAAAGTTTGTAATGAAATGAGTAAGAGATTGGAAAATAAATTCATTTGATGTCATCCAGATGTCAGTAGTAAAGACGCAACTTCCAAATTCAACTTTCTTCTTGTCAATAATTTGTATCATATGATCACTGATGAACTTATATAGTTTAAGAATTTACATAGTCTCGAGAAAAAAAATTAAATGAAACAAGGTTTTACTTTCTTTTCTTTGCTTGTTTTATTATTTTATATAAAAAACAATTTATAAAGAAACTGAACTTTTAATGTCACCATCAAACTTTTTCGTATTACTCAAAACCACCCTAGAGGTGTTTGGCAACACAAATTTTGTACTTTTGAGCAGTGAGTCTTTAGTTAATCTATACTTATATAAAAACTAGATTTTTTTAAAAAAACATCATGTTTGATTCACTAGAAAAATAGTCAGACTCTTTTAAAGCTTGAACTTATTCTAAAAGTCATGTCTCAAAAAATTAACCTGTTTTGAAAACGATAAAAGTTATTCTTATTTATACAATAAAAAAGTCAAAGCACCAACGAACTATTGATATATAATTTTTTCAAAATAGCTTATTTATCTAAAGACTCTCAAATAAATACAAAGATTTCAATGGGTAGTTGTGTATAAATGCATATATTTTTTATTCAAAAAGTACTAAGACAGCAAAAAACCGTTAATAAACTCTTTAGTTATGTATTAATTAATTTGACAAAAAAGCACATAATTTTTTCAATCTATAAGTGAATCTATAATAAAAATGTTATTCTCTACAGCACTTATTTATCACTTCCATACCGTCTATGTTAGAAAAAAAATGAGTCATATTTCCTTGCTTAGGATTGTTCAAAATTTCTGTTCCAAGTGTGGCCAATAAAAATTTATATTCAATTTAACTATGAAGCACAACTTCGTCATCAACTATTAAGTTTGTTTTTTCAACAGAATGATTTGATTGGTTTCCAAAATTTTTTGATACAAGTACAAACTATTCAACGTCAACATTATTTTGTTTCTCAACGTTGGCCAAAATCTTGTAATAAAGTTGAATCTTTTGATGTATGTACGTTCCGGGATGTATTCATTTTTATTCTGGTGGGCTTTGAGATTAGCTTCAGTATCAAAAAACAATTTTGAATATACACCCGTATACTGAATTGAATCTAAAACATTTATACTTCTTGTTTTTTATTTTATTCCTTTTTGCTATAAAAATATCCCCACCTTCAAAAGATACTATCTCTGTTAAACCAGGAATGATTTCTAATCCTGAAAACTGAACCATTTTTCCTTTACCACAAATAAAATACAGCTATAGCGTCATTCCACAATTGTTGCATGAAATTGAATGGATCGAATAAATATTAGATATCTTGCTATCAATGACCAATTTTAGCTTTTAAATTTCAACCACTGATACTTTTGAATCTTTGAAACTCTAAAAAACGTTAATTTTAAAATCCTGTGCTTAAATACAGTTATTTCCAGCGTTGACATATGCATTTAAATGTAAGTTAAAGTTGCAGTAACTGAGTTAGCAGAATAATATCCTAAAATAAAAACAGTCAAAACTATGTTATGATATATTTTAAGTGCCTAGGTCAACAATCAAATAAAAAATTTATTTTTTGATAACAACTATAATAGCGCTATTATAGTTGTTATCAAAAAAATAAATTCATGAAATGAATTTATTTTTTTAAAACAAAGGTAAGTCGAGCATTCCACATGCAGTAACAATCTGATGTGTTGAATTCCTTTTTCGGAAACCAAACTGTTTGCTGAATAATGCTCGACTGATGATGGAATGCTCAACTTACCTTTGTTTTTGACACTGTTGACTTTGTTCTTAACTTTGTTGTTAAACATTTTCTAGAACCTAACTTCCGAAACAAATAAAGTACACTATTTAGTAAACTTAGAATATTAAAACTTCAGTCAGACAGCAGTTTTTTACATCGATTTCTTGAAATAATAAAAAAAGTTTGTTCTCAAAATAATTATTTTTTTAAAAACAATAGAAACACAGAAAGAGGCGCAACTATCAACAGAAAGATAAATAGCGTCAGTCCAAAAACTGTCACAAGGAAATTTGAAAAAAAAATCCTAGTCAGCTGTAAGGTAGTAGTAATTAGTGCAATGGTGAGTTGAAAGAAGAAGTACAAGATTACAACTTTAAAGATTCTGAAGAACTCTGAAAGTTCAGAGACAAAACACAAATCAAACAGTGAAGATAAGTGATTAAAGTTGCCTGGAAAACAAGATAGGATAGCTTAGGGTATTATGAGCAACTTAAGCAAAAATTGAAATAAGTTCAAAAATTATTATGCTGGATCCAAAAGTTTTGCGAATAAAAAAAAAAAAAAAAAAAAAAAAAAAAATTAGTTCGTTAATTTTTTATTTAATTAACTCAAACCTTAAAACGATATAATTGCAAATTTTTTGAATTTAAATTACAAAAAGATATTTAGTATTGTTAAAATATTAAAAAAGTTTTACTTTGTTTTGTTTTTATTCAAAAAGAAATTAAAAACTCTGCAATTTTACGATTTTAAACTAAGTAATTTCAATGAAAACACTGCGTAATTTGGGCATGCTCAATTTGCACAAAAATTGCTTTTAAAAAATTAAATCTTTTAAAGTCAAAACCAAATGTTTCTATGCATTATTTTTCAAACAAAATTAAAACGGATTTCTAGCTAACATACTTTTCTTTATGAAAAATTAAATTTCATTATTTTAGCATCAAAATTTCGCGCCACAGATTTCTTTATGCGCGCTGATAATATTTTAACTACGCAAAAAATTTAATAGCGTTTATAGATGAGAGCCGCATATAAATTTACGCTAACATTACTGATTTTTGTTATCACCTCATAAATTCGATTCAAAAAATACAAAGCAAATTAAACTTTACTGCTTACATCTTAGAAATCTTTTATTTTAATCTTTTTTAGTTCAATGAGCATACTTTGGTAATGAGCATACCTTGGTAACTTGAGCATTGCTCATTTTACCAAAATGTTCATATTACCCTATATATCTACACAGTTCAACTATCAGAATAAGAGATAGAGAAATACAGAAGTTTAAGTGCCAGCAGAGTCAGTGGTGCTAAAGACAAGCCGTTAAGTATAATAAGCATTAACAAAAACATTTTTGGTTGAAGGATAAAACGAAAGGGTTTGGTTAATTTGATTAGATAAAATTAACCAACATCAAAAAGAGTGCAGTTTGGATAAAAAGGGAGGACAATAAAAAACAAAGAAAAAGTGATTGAGTGAAGAAATGCTAAAGAAAAACACATAAAAATATTGTCAAACCTAATTTCATTAAAAAAAAAAATTAACATTTAAGTAGATGCCCATTCCAAGAATGGCTTTTAAAGTCTTTGCAAATCAAAAGGATAATCACCGCATCACCACAAAGGATAATCCCCACATATCAAAGGATAATCACCACATCACATCAAAAATCAGATTAGAACAGTAGTGGTGGAAAAGGTTTATTAAATTTAAAGTTTTAGGTAACTTAGTCATGTTTTATGTAAATAAAGAATTTGACTCAACCATAAATAGTTCATAGCACCCCAAGTAGGGATTCCAAATCCGGATTTTGGAATTTCGGTATTCCAAAATTCATTTGTTTTTATTAAATTTGAAATTCCGGAATATAAAAAAACCGGATAATTTTATTTTTTATTTTTTTTTTTATTTTACAACGTTCTTGTTTGACAATTTTTATCAATAAAATTTAAATAAAAATTAATAACGACAGGAGCAAGTAGAAGACAGAAGTCTTGTCATCAAGCCCCTATAGTAAGCGTAAAGTACTTTTAACAAGTTTCTCATTATATAAATTTACTAATACTCGTTATAAAAAAACAAGTTAACATATTTTTACAACAAGAATACTATAAATGGCAAAAGATAAATAATAAGATATATTAAGAAATATTACAAGATTTTTTTTTTTTTTACTTAAAAATGCAAAAGTATGTTTGCGTCTGTTAATTCAAGTAAATACTGTTTAACTATATTTTTAAAACAATTTATTGAAGTTATACTTTTCATATTTTCATTAAGAACTATGTTCCACAGACGAGGGCCTCTATATGAACACGTTTAACTCATAGACATTAAGAGCTTTAATTTCCTGGAGTAACGGCTTGGAGTATTTATGCACATTAAATATAACTCTACTGGCTTGTTTTTGTTTAATATATTTTTTTTTGGGTAAGTACTTACCCAAGCAATATTACAATAGCTAATGTAGCTATGGATAAAACAATAATAAAAATCTATTAAACATTTTTTACTTAGTAGGTGTTTTGTTTTATACATAATGCCTATAGTTTTAGAAATTTTGTTTTCAATTAGCGTAATATGATTTTTCCAATTAAGGTGTTCATCAAATATTATTCCTAAAAGTTTAAGTGATGAAACTCTGTTTACTATATTGTTATTTATTATTAGCTGAGGAAGTTGCAGAGGCAAGTCATTGAATTTAGATTGGTTATGGAATAAAATGTACTTAGTTTTACTGATATTCAAAGAAAGTTTGTTTGATTTAAACCAGTCATTAAGGTTGTCCAGCTCACGATTAACTGTATAAGAAAATTGATTTTAAATTGGAATGGGTATAAAAAAGATTAGTGTAATCAGCAAAAAGGACAAAATTAAGCATGTTTGAAGATAGATAAACATCATTTATGTAAATCAGAAACAGTAAGAGTCCATGAATAGAGTCTTGAGGAACTCTGCAGCTTATTGTTTCTAACTTTGTAAATGTTGAATCATAAGATACTCCTTGTTTTCTAATTTAAAGTAGCTTTGTAGCCATTTTAAGTTGTTATTTGTTATTCCATATGTTTCTAGTTTGTACTAATTTTATGATCAACAGTGTCAAAAGCTTTTGACAAGTCAATAAACATGCCAAGTGTAACTTTTTTTAGAAAACCCATCCAGTATTTGACTGGCTAAATAAGTTACTGCATGTAGTAACTGGTTGTTACTACATGCAGCAACAATCTGATGTGTTGAATTCCTTTTTCGGGAACCAAACTGTTTGCTGAATAAGATATTATGTTTTTCAAGATAACTATACAGTCTGTTATACATAATACGCTCAAGCAACTTTGAAAAACAAGAAAGAATAGATATAGGTCTGTAGTTAGATGGTATAGAATCATCACCATTTTTGTATACGGGGACTACTCTTGCTATTTTTAATTGACAAGGAAAAATACCAGTTGTAAATGAAAGATTGAAGATAAGCAAAAGAGGTAATTTAATAACATCAAAAACAGCTTTAAGAACGTTAACATTAATATCGTCAAACCCGGCACTTATTTTTTTTAAGCGCATCAAAAGATGCCTGAAGTTCATTTAGAGATAGTTCCGACTCATCCATTACATAGTGAGTTTTTTTTAATAGGATAGGAATATTTTATTTCCAGGAGTTATATCAGCTGCTAATTTTCTTTCTTATGTTTATAAAAAATTTGTTGAAGTTTTCAGCTATTTCTTTCTTATTAAATATTTCTTTGTTCGAATTTAATTTGTATCTTAATATTTTTTTTAGCTTTTTTCGAAATCGGTTTTAACGTTGCATATATTTATTGTGTATACTTAATTTTAGTCTCTAGGATGTCAGACCAGCAAGAAAAATTTTTTGTAGATGAATCCAAAGAGAATTCATCAATTTTGGTGTGGAATTATTTTTTACGAGGGACAAAAAATCAAGTGGCGAAGTGCATATAGTGTAAGCAGATTTTAAAGATATTGGGTGGATGTAGAACACCAATGCATACCCATTTGCGAGCAAACAACACAACAAGGTATTAAATAAAAGAAAAACTGATAATGATTCATATGTTTTTGGTACGAGTGCTATTAATTTAAATAGAAAAAGCAAACCTTTTTGATTATTATTGTTTAAAAGAAGACAAAAGTTTTTGCCTAGTCAATAACTACAGAAATACTTTCCCAAAAAAAGAAGGTATTTTTCAGTCTCACACTTGACGAGTGGTCGGCGTTTTATGAATCTTAACGTACATAAATCAGGAGATCATGTTTGTAATTCGGGGCTGTCTCGTATTTATGGCCGATTTGCTGCTAAGGGTTGTGTAAAGTTGTAGAAAAAGAAGCTTGAAACTTGCCAAATAAATATTTGATTGACAATGATGTTTTTTGTATTATGACTAAGGCACTCTCGACGATGCAAAACGTGGGTAGATTGCAACCTTGTGAACAAATTTTATGTTTTGCTTATGCAATTTAAATTCTATTGTGAATATATTCTATAAAAAGCAAACTAAAGTAGAAGAAGAATAATATAATAGTGAAAGTGACCTAAATCTTGAATCCAATGAAGAAAATCTTACTGATGACAAGGATGATGAAAATGGAATGCGGGTAGACATGGGAAATGGAACTGATGTTATAAAAACCGCCGAAAATTTCCAGATACGAACATTGATAACTAAAGTGTGAAAAGCTTTTAAAGTACTCCGTTGTTCGCCTTTGAAAAATGAAGTTCATCAAAAATACTTGAAGAAGAAGAAAGATTGTAAAAAAAGAGTTAAGGCTTGTGTTAGATTCAAAAAATGGAGCAGCATGTTGTTTATGTTAGATTGCTTGAATGTTTTAAAATCTTCATTAAAGAAATTATTAATTGATATTAATGGAGAGATACATTTCATATGAAACAAAATGGGATACAGTATCACAGATATCAAAACGTTTGATGCCAGTAAAATTAGCTGTAGACTTGTTATACCATGCTGACACCGACTTACGTTTACGTTTAAAAGATTATCATTAATATTTACGTTTATGTTACAAAATTTAGGTGAGTACAAACAATCCAGCAGCCACTTTAAAAGTTAGGTGAGTGCAAACAATCCAGCAGCCACTTTTACACCCGAAAACAAGAACTTTAAAAAAACCATCAAATCAATCAGCAATACAAAATTAAACTAAATATTGGAACCAAAGTGGCCAAAGTGACCACTTTTGAAAAATATTTACAGTATCCTGTTGTGTTTTTCTCCAACAAGTGTTGAAGCAGAGAGAGCTTTTTACGCCGCTGGAAAATTTTCAACAAAAATCAGTTCAAGACTTAATGATTCGATATCGGATAATTTGTGTATGCTAAGAAGTTTTTTTAAAAATCAAAATTAAAAAAATATGTTTTTACATAGTCTTTTATTTTTCTCATTGATTTTTTTTGTTAATTTTATTTATTTTTATTGAATTTGTTTCGTTTTACTGAGATATTTAAAAAAATTTAAGTTAAGTTAATATGAAGTACTTTGAAACTTTTCTTTTTCTGTCAAACTTTTTTTGCAATTGCGGAATTATATCAGAATTCTGAATTTCATTTCATATTATTCCGAAAATTTTGGAAATCATTTTTCGATAAAAATTTGATTTACTAACCAATACAAGCAATAAACAAGCAATAAACTGTGCTGTTGCTTCAATCCCGTTAATTAAACCAAAGTTTTAACAAAGGGCTCTTTATGCGGTCTCGACAATGCACACTAAAACCACTAAAAGAGACACCTCCAAGAGCCACTCAAAGACCTACCGCAGAGTTCAAGAAACTTTGCTACCAGTTAGCCTTGAACCGTTAAACTAAGTTTCAGAGCTTAACCCACATTAGGAGATAACAGAAAGAGTAAGTGAAGCCACATTCATAAAGATTCAAGTAAAATCTTATGAGTAGAACTAATTAGATCAAGCATTCGTCAACTAAAACAGAAAAAAACGTAACACAGGTTTAAATCTACGCCAGCCCATTTGATGAAGAAGGAGTGCAACGATGGTCAACGTGTTTCTCTACTTAAACATTAAGTCTTTTCCGAAGAGGTTTTTTATACAAGTCAGCAGCTAGATGCATTCATCTACCCAAGAAGAGTATTTTTATTGAGATACTATATCTAGCTTTTACTCAACTAAGGGCTCCAAGTCAGTGGTAATTTAAGTCAGAGTTCTTCTTGACCTTTACCTAAAAAAACAAATTTTACAAGGCATCAGGTCATCAAGTATGTTGTACCAGACTAGATGTGAAATATAGAAATTTAACTTCAAAACATAATTTTTTGTTTCTCCAGACCAAAATTATTACTTTCTTTGTTTGAAAAAATGTGATAAAAAAATTACAGATTTCATGAATGAGAAAATAAAGATCCTGTTCAAACAAGAAATTAATTAATTCCAAGGTTCCATCTGGACTTTAAAACACATGCAGAACAAACTTGCAAAAACTAGACAGTGGTCAAACCAGCGGTGAGCTTCCCAGACTGTACAAGTTTCAAAGCATAAAGGTTACAAGAAATTCTTCTGACTGTTCATACTTCATTTGTCAAGTTGGAAAATCAAAGCACAATCAGACTCTCTCTGTTCATCATGTGCACCAAGTAGCAGTCCATAAAGTTCTTACCAGGCACGAGAAAAGCCTTTTTTTCCTGATAACGCTCAAAAAAGGGTTTCTTCACCAGTGTACAAAAGGTTTAAAATTTTTTAAATAGTCCTCACTCTTAGACCTTCCTCCCAAAACTCAGTAAAGAAACCCATGATTTCAACAACCAATATAGTCAAGGCACAAATTAACACTAGTTTTTCCAACAACAAAATCAGAGGACTTGTTTTAACTCTCAATAAGTCATTTGGAACAAGTTTGGTGGAATCAAACTTCAGGGATGAGTTTGCTAGTGTCAGGATGAAGTTGGAGTTTTTCACCACATCAACTATTTATGATGCTTCAAAAAAAGACTTCTCCACCACCAAGGCATTGCATCAGTCTCTCTGAGTTTGTTGCTTCGGTGTCTGGAAAACGAGAAATCTCAAAATCAAGCAGCATCACCAAAATTGGGATTGATGGTGATGGAAACTTCTAAGCTTAGCTTGAGCACCATTGACATCAAGAGATCCCACACACAGACTGCATATCAAATAAGGATAATCTTCACTGGTTCCACATCTCTAGATTCTGGTGTCAAACAGCAACTAATTGTGTCCATAACCAAAAATCTTCCAAAAACTATAAGAACCAAATCTTTGTTCTTTTGGGGATTCTCGACATTATTTTCTTCATTTGGTGTGACATGAAAGTTGCTGACATCCTATGGGGAATCCAATTTTACTCTAGTTTATACTCATGCTGCTGGTGTGACCTTACCTCAGACAATATGCGGTCAAAAGGAAAACCAAGAACAATCAAATCAATAAGAAATCAAATCCAGCTCTACAATTCACATTCAAGAGGAAACAAATTGCAGGCAAAGAAGTACTTGAATGTGATTCATGAGCCTGTCATCCTAGCAAAAAATGCTTCCAAAGCTGTCTGAATTTATTCCTCCGATGGAACTCCACCTTTTGCTTGGGGCGATAAATCATCTTTAAAAGGGTTTTCAGAGAATCTAGTAAGGAACCAGTGAATGTCTTTTAATGTTGCATTTGAACATTCAATCCTACCACGGTGGAGAGTTTTCTGGAAATGACTGCATAAAGCTTCTCAACAATGCAGATCGTTTGAGTGAGCTTGTGACCAAACATCAAGGAAACAATATGTCCCTATATTTTTAGGTTCACATCAATGCATTTCAAGAATGCTACATGACTCTGCCAGTCACAGTGACTCCAAAAGTTCAGGTTGTTTTCCACCACATCAAAGAGTTCATAAAAATTTACAACTCTGGGCTTAGTTGTTTTAGTGAGCAATTATCTGAGGCATTTTATTTGATCTTCAGGTCTCACTGGGCAAGATAAAAAAGAGGTTTAGACAAGAAACAGAAAACAGTTGTTTGATTGCGTTCTAGATTACATCAACAAGCATCATTTATTAAATGCTAAAAAAGATCTTCGGTTCAAATTTCTGCTTATTTATAAATACAGAATATTTTATATGTGAAACTTGAGTTACTGTTTTTTAAAGTTGTTCCAAATAATTTAAAACCCTTTTTGTTCTCAGAAAATTAATCAAGAAAAATTTTTAAAAGTCAAATTTTTCATGTATTTTTAGAATAATTTATGATCAGAAGGAAAAAATAAAATTTTTCAAGATGCTTTCACTTAAATTTTTATTGTGTACAAGAAAACCTGTAACTTAAAAAAGCAATAAATAAAACAGTAGGCAACCCAAGTTTTCACTTTCCCTTATTTTTTTTTTCTTATGAATTTATTTAACAAAAAATTAAAAAAAGTTTTTTCAAAAACAGTAAAAACGGTTCTTCTAGTAGCCTCACTTTGAAATCTTGTAAATCAGCTAAATGAAAAGGTAAAGGCTCCATACCTTTTTCTACTGAAAGCCCTTTGAATATTCTAAGTCTATATACAATTTTAAATGTTGTAATGCTAATTGTATCATTTTGATAAAAACTGACTTTGCTCAAAATGGCGTATAAATTTTTGCTTTCTAGCTGGTATGTTTGATCCTCAATTAGGAACAAAACATTTTAGACAAAAACCCCCAAAATGATTCTATTTTAACAAAAACATATAAAATCTATGAAAAATTACATTTATATCACTAAATAGAACATTGGTAGGTATTTACACATCATTTTATTCAACCGCCATATTTTTTATGTTTAAAATATAACAGAGACCATCTACATTCAAACTCAATTTTCTCTCTCGGACGGTGTAACGAGATTTTTATTTTTATGCCAAATGAACCGCGATTGCCTCTAGAATACTGGACATACTGTCATCATTTTAGTCTTTAATTTGAGGGCCAAAATTGAAAAACTATGAGCAGCATGTGTCTGAGGCATTTTCTTTACTTTTAATGTATTTAAACTAAATAATCTAAAAATAAACCAGTTTATTTTGAAACTTTTCATAAAAATTGCGTAAACAATGATGGTTTCAAAATAACTACAATAATAGCGCAAAAAATTGAATTTCTGTGGATATTATATATCCCCCAAAATAGTTTGACAAGTTTATTTGACAAAAGTTATGTACTCTTTAACGTATTTTTTGTATATTTTATTTATATTTATTTATAAACACGGATAATTTGTAAACGGGACTCGATGATAAGACAGTCATTGTCTTCTTGCTCCGGCCAATTTTTATAAATGTAATATGTCTTTATTGTAAATATATGAAACGACAATAAAAAAAAATTAAAAAAATGAAAAAAATTAATATTTAAATATTTAAATTATAAAAAAATTGTCTGAAATGGCTGGCTATATAACCAATACTTTTATATAAAAAAATCTACATGTAACAAAGTACAAACCACAAACACTTTGCAAAGAAGTACTTTTACTTTTGTTACTTTTCAGGCTTTCCTTTTTACTTTGTGGCGAGTTAACTTCAATTAAGAAGTTCAACTATTAGGTTTTTTACTTTAGATTCTAGCCATGTTAGCCATGCCAAAGTGAGTGGTGGTTTAAACAAAAACTAAATGTAAAATTAAATTTTATCAACCATTTATTTTTATTGCCCAATTCAACTTAAAAGTAAAGTTACATTTTTTGTTAAAAATAACTATTTGTAACGTTATTTTTGTTTTAACTTCGACTTACATTTATCCAACTTGTCTTACAACTAATCTAAAAGTATTTGTTTAAAACAACTAACTTTTTGTAAAACTCTTCACGCTGACTTGCGCTAAGATGAAAAATGTTATTAGTTGTTATTAGTTGCACAGTTTACTTGTCGAGCGTCAAAATTATAAAAATGTGTAACCATCAACAATAAAAAAATCTTTGAAGGTCTTAATTAACCTTCAGAATACAAACAACAAGTCAGTTATAAGTGGAAAATATTGCGACGTAATGGTATTAAATAATGCTCTTGTTTGTAATAGCTAAATATATCAAATATTATTACGAGCATTTAACAATCTAATATTTCATCATGGACGACGACACACACACACACACACCCCGCTCACAAACATTTTTTTTCTAAAGAACCTTTTTTTTTTTTTTTTAGATAATTGTAGATATAGAGAACATTTTTTAGAAATTGATAATTGTGCCCCTTCACTTAGAAACCCGTGTCGTCGACTATGTTTATAGAATACAATTAACTTATTTTTTATAGAAAAGAAAAACTGAAATAATTTTAAACTTTTCCTAATTGTTTAAAGTTATAAGAGTTTGTATTTGATAAGTTTGGATTTTTTTTGAGTAAGTGAAACATTATTTTATTAAAGTTCATTAAATTATTAAATAATTAAAATCACTTTATTTAACTTTTATTAGAATTTAACCATTATAAGAGTAATGCAAGAAAAAATCCTTTGAAAATAAATATAACCTATTTTTTAAAATATTGTTTTTCTATGTATAAATACAAATGTTTTCAATATTTAACGTTTTCGGCACAAACATACCCCGTCTCCTATTTTTAAAAAAGAAATATCCACACGTTCGTCATTTCGAGCTTTTCTTGTTACTTCTGCCATAGCAGCTACATTTTCTTTATCTCCCAATGAAGCTGCTTCCGGATTAACCATTAAACCCCACAGAAGTGTATTATCTAAGGCTAATACCCCACCGGGTCTTAAAAGTTGAATTCCTAAATCGTAATACAATGGATAACCAGTTTTATCTGCGTCAACATAAATAAAGTCAAATGTACCTTCGTGACCTTCGTCTATAAACTTTTGTAGTGTTTCACTAGCTGGACCAATGCATTCTTTTATTTTTTGACTCACACCTGCTTTTTCAAAAAACTGTCTACCATGGCTGATGAATTCATCAGTAATATCAAGAGCATACACAATACCATTTTCTGGTATTGTAAGTGCACAGTTTAAAACGTTATAGCCTGTGAAAGAGCCTACTTCAATGCATTTCACAGCATTTAACATTTTAAGAAGCATACGAAATAGCTGAATTTGAATAGGATCCGATATCATCTGCGCTCTAGGAACATTTGCAACAGTATAATTTAATAATTCAGTCAATAAAGGTGGTTCATTTAAAGTTTCTCTAATAATATAGGCGTCTACTGGATCTTTTTTTTCCATAAATGATTTTGATAAACTCATTTTCTTTATTTAATCACTAAAAGTTATTTTGCTTACTACAAAAATAAGACAAAAAAATTAATTACTCAAAAAATTCAAACACATATCAAAATGATTTATATAGTAAACATATATATTTCATGTTTAAATAATAAATAATATTACTAAAAGTTATTTTGCTTACTACAAAAATAAGACAAAAAAATTAATTACTAAAAATATTCAAATACATATCAAAATGATTTACATAGTAAACATATATATATAACATGTTTAAATAATAAATAATATTACAAATAAAAGAAGTTTTAAATTATTATAATAACCAGCACATATAAATAAAATATTACACATTAAATGCAAAGCTTATGTTCAGTATAAATACGCCAATACATACAAAGCATAAAATGTACAGCCTATTTTAAAACTTAAAGAAGTCGAACAAGTTCATATATAAAATAAAGCAAAAATAAAAAGTAAAATACAACAAGTTATTTTTTTAAAAAGAAGCAAGTCAAGAAAATCAAAACAACAGGAAACTATTTACACTGTTACGGAAAAAGGTGTCCGTGTTTAAAAAAAGGTACTAGCGTATAAAGGTGTTAATAATTTGAATATGAACACCTAGATAGGTGTTCATGTTTTTTTTTTAATTTGTTATTTAGGTACCCAAGAAGTCCTAACAGTCTTGTCACAGAACACCGCGGAAGTGCATTTAATCAGGAAGTTCACGTCTTCTTCCTTACCGTGACGCGAAATATGTCCGAGAACCTGGATCTCCTGCTTATAAAGCATGCACTCTAACCACTGCGCCACGGCCGCACAATATTCATATAATAGGTGTTGAAGACAAAAAAATTCCAATTGTTCAAGAAAAAGGTGTTAGCTTGAAAAGAAAAGGTGTCGGTGTAAAAGGGTGTCAATTTACTTTACCCATTAAGCATCACGTATGAATTGTTAAGAATAAATAACATTTTATTCTTAACAATTCATACGAGATGCTAAATGCGTATGGATTGTTAAGAATAAAATGTTATTTATTGAATTGTTAAGAATAAAATGTTATTTATAATATGTTATAAATGAATTTATGAATTGTTAAGAATAAAATGTTATTTATAATGACCTTTCCTTTGGGGAAGTGTTAATTTGTATGCATATTCGTTGGTAGTTTGTCAACTCACTACCATCAAATCCATTATGGTCAAAAGTACTTGAATTTTTTTATGATTTAAATAAAATATATACACATGTATACGTGTGTTTATGTGTATATATTTTATTTTTGTATAACTTTTTTTTTTTTTTGTGTATGTATATAAATTATTCATTTATTCAAAAGAGTCATAGTTAAAACATGTTCCAAAGAATTCTCGATTTAATAGAACCAAACTTTTTTGGTTTGATAAAGTCAGTTTTGAGGGTTGATAAATTTGGGCGTTATTACCATACGTAATGAAACAAAATTAAAAAATATTAATAGACAATTTTTCCTCCAATTTGAGCAATAGTGTTGTTATAAACATAAATGGAGGTGGTGATATGGAAAAATGACTCAAATTTGAACCAGTTGATGAACCAAAATCAATCATCATGCGTGAATACTTTTTTTTTTTAACAATTTATTTCAAGTTTGTTATTCAGCGCGGCAATGTATTTAATTGTAAAATAAACTGCTGAAATCGTAAGCAGCCCTAACAAGTTATTAGAAATCGTATAAATTTTCTAAGTTACAAAATACAAAATAATAAAAATTTTGTTTAAATCATAATTTTGCCTAAAATAGTTAAAATGTTTTTAGCTTATGATATTTGTTATAGCAAAACATTTACTTGTGTATTTATAGTCTTAATGTGTATGTTATATAAAATTCATATTAAAAAGTGTACTACACATATATATTTTAAAAAATTATATATTTTAAAATATGTATAAGTGTGCTCTTAGAACAGTCCTTTCAAAAAACTTTAGGTTTTTTAAAATCTTATTAAATCGTGTTAATCATGAGTAAACAGAAAGGTTAAGATAATAATGTTTACTGTTGAATATTCAAATATTTGCGACACAAACGTGTTATTCAAACAGTAGGGTATTAATGTAACATGAACAACTTTATTTGCATCAACACCTTTTTACGGCAATACCTAAAAGGTGTTCATATAGTATCACATGTCTTCAATTTTTTTCTTTAACATGAGCACCCTTTTCCGTAACAGTGTAGGTTTAAAAACACATACGAAAAGTAATTTGTATATGAATGTTAAGAAAATTATATATATATATATATATATATATATATATATATATATATATATATATATATATATATATATATATATATATATATATATATATATATATATTTATATATACATAATATATATATATATATATATATATATATATATATATATATATATATATATATATATATATATATATATACACAATGCCGTGGCTACTAGGTCCTAGCCCTCCCCTCCCCCCCCCCCCCCCACCAAAAAAAAACAGAAAAAACAAACAAAAAAACAACAACAACAAAAACAGCAAAAAATAAAAAAAAACAACTTGTTAAAAGGGCCCCAAAACCTTAAAAATATTTCCGTTTAGTATTTTTTACGTATTACTAAAAAAAAAAAATTTCCTCAAATTTGCAAAAGGGACCCTAAAATTTGCGAATGCTCCCCTTAAAATGCTGCCACCCCCCAATTAAGGGGTGTCATAGATTCATAAGTGGTTTCAATTCAATTAAAACAATAAATTAATGCAGAAAGTATTGTTAAGTTTTCTTGCACGGCAAAGGTAAATAAAAATTTTACTTTCAAATCTAAGTTTGAGATTAATAAAAAATATAAAGCCGAACGGTTTGGCTTTGTTGTTACCTATGGCCAATAAAATGTAGTTATCAGTTGATCTGTGCCACATGCTATTTTATGAATACTGCAATATAGAATATGATATCTTAGCTAGATCATAAATCGATATTTAAAAGAAGAAAGATTATTTTATTATACGATTCATTTATTTTAAAGCTAAAAGAAAACAAAGAGTTTAAACTTTGTTTTATATATTTGGCTCAGTTGACAATTGCACAGAACAGTTGTAACTGCTAACCCAAAGTTTATTTTTCTTCAGTAGTTAAAAGGATTTGTTTTTGAAGCCTCTTTAAATTTTTTTCAATTATTAAGTGTTTTCAATGTAATTGAAAGTTTTTTTTTTATAAAAAAAAGATTTTACAGTTGTATTATAAAAATTACTTTTAAAAAATTGAATGTTGAGATATTTTCTATTTTTGAATGAGTTTTATTTTATTTGATTAAGCATTATTGTCGTTTGACTAGGAATTTGCTTGTATTTTGGAATTCAGTGCATATTAAATGACATATAAGGTTACACTGAAGTTATTATAAAGACATGAACTGGTTTTAAATAAAACAAGATGTTGATAACTTCACTTAATCAGCTTTTAATTTTATTAAAAACATTATTATTATATTGCCAATTAATTCTTATAAAAAAGGAAATAAATAGCTTCTAATAATTTCTGTACTTTTTTTTCTGTTGTGTTTTAAAATTTCAAGTAAATTTTTGTTTGTAAGTTAAGTTTTTTACATAAGCTTTTAAATGAAACTGACATTTAGTTCATATATATGCTTAACTTAGTTTCACAAGCGTAAGTTTTTTACGAGACGATATTTTAGACGTTTTTCTGGTATTGATATTTGTAATCGCATTCCAATAGTTTCATTATCCTACCAGTGCAATTTTAGATGTTATTTTGGTATTGTTCAAATAATAAAAACACGACATACACAAAACATTCAGCACTTATAAAACCTGCATACAGTAAATATTTAGGTAGAAACAATAAATTTTTATGATAGAAAATTTATTTTATTAACATTTTTGTTTTATGATTTTCTTAAGAACTTCGAATAATTTTTGAAGTATTTAAAAAGTAGAAATTAAAATAAGTCTTTAATGCTTTATTTACTGAAGGGGGGTTGGAGAGACAAACATTACGGAAAGGGGGCTGAAGACAAGCATGCAAGAAATTTTTGTTTTTAGCCTAATATTTTAAGTTCACATTAATTTAAAAATAAAAAAGTCTAAAAAAATCTAACGTCAAATTACAAATGTTAAAAATATTCTGGTTAAAGCTAAGTGGCTAAAATTGACAGAGAAAAATTAAGAAATCAAATACTTTTTCACATTTAGGTGTTAAAATCAAACATAAAATCAAACGTTAAAAAATACTTTGGTCAAAGCTAAGCCGTTTGGGTAAAATTGGCTGAGGAAAATAAAGCAAATAAATACCTTCACAGTTTACTCTGTAACGTTGTATTGAACAAACAATACTTTTTTTATATTAAATATTAAACTGCTATTATTATAAGAATCTGTTTTAAATATTAAGTATTTCAATAAAAATATTTTTTCTATCTGATTAGGAGAGACTCTTGTACTACTGCAAAAATATATATTTATATAAACAGTTTTATATTACTACAAATTGTCGAACTCGGAAGATGTCTTTAACAAAAAAGCTAAAAAAAAAAAAAAAAAACTAAGGTCTGTAACAAAAAATAAACTTAAAAATCTACAATCTATATGTTTTCCCTAAACATATGTTTATGGAGAATTTTTTTTTCCTGAAGCAAAATGTAAAAAGAATTATAACATAAGTAGATAAAATATGCAATATCTCACCATTTAAGTAGCAACATCGCAAACTTAAAATATGTAATATCTCACCCTTTAGTTTGCAACATCGCCAACTGAAAAGAAAACATAACGAGTAAATTTGTCTTATCTTTATTTATGATAAGTTTTTTGTTATCACAAATAACACTGTCTTGTGACCATAATATAAATGTCTTATGATCACAAATAACACTGTCTTGTGACCATAATGTAACTGTCTTATGATTACTAGTAGTAAAGTCTTTTGATTCCACGTGATTCAATAATAATACGCGATTATCATGATGCAATTTTTATGTTCAAAACGTCTTTTGAACTTTCAAAAGATGCCTTTTTAGGACAAAATGCCGTCTAGTATTTATGAATAGTATAATTTAATAATTGTATAATTTAATACGTTTCTATTTAATGTGCTTAGTTAAGATTGTTAGTTGAATTGTAGTTGACTAAAATAGAATCTTCTAGCGTGTAATTGGCTGTATACAACAAGTCAAATTTATTGCGCTCAGTTACTGGTTAATGCGCTTATAATCGTAGCGGAGCGTAGTTATTATTAGTTATTCTCTCCGGGCAGTTTACTTGACGTTAACTGACGTAAATTAAATTGTCTTAACATCCACAACCTTTGATTTTAAATCGCAAAAATCATGTAATATATTTAAATTGAAAAAATTGTTTTTTTTTTAGCTAAAACTTAGTTTTTTTCTTCCAACTCGGTGTAGTTAAGGCGATTTACAAATTCTTTTATTTGGAATTAGCGTGGTTTTATCAGCGTATTATGTCCAAACAAGAGCTTTAAATAGTATAATTTTTTTTCTTCTTTTTTTTTTTTAATATTTAAAGAAACTTTTCTTTTTTTTTTGTATAAATTTCAAAACATTTTTACTAGCCCTAAAAGTGAATTTAAAGAACACCATTTTGGAGTCTTTTGATCACTTTCGCTCATCGGCGTTACTATGAATTTAACTTAAAAATCTTTTGAAAAAGTGCCTTAATTTGCTACAGATCCTAGTTATAATCGGTTCTGACGTTATTAACTATATATAGTTGTCAAAATACAATATTTCTATCAATTTTTACTAAAAATACTAGTATTCCAACCTAGAAAAAGCTTATAATTAAAAAAAATTGCCAATAAACGATTAGAACAGATCATATTGTTAAACTATGATGTTCATTTTAAATTTGAACTAGCGATTGTGACTTTGAGAAGATTTTTTAAAAAAAAAAAAGAATCTTCGGTATGGTTTTTTTTTGCTTAAACATTTATATTTTATGATACCGCAAAATTTATCATTTTAACTTTTTCCATCTTTTCATAATTCACAGACCTAATCATTTAATGGAAATATGTCGTAGTCAACTAAATATCGTACAGACGTTTTAATATTTTAAAATTGCCTTAACTACACTAAAAACAATCGATTTTATATCACTAAAACTAGCTTCATAAACTTTATTTAAAATGTTGAAAACTTTATTTTATATGAAGACACGTAGCGGACTACATACCTATATAGTAGCTATGTCACGGACCACGGGTTATGTAGTAGCTATGTCACTGACCACGGGTTATGTAGTAGCTATGTAGTATCTATATAGCAGGTAATGTAGTAGCATGCTGTATAACAGCTATGTATTGGACGGGTAACCCGTCGGTTATATATAATTATTTGATACCTGAAACCAGCGGTAAGGGTGTTAAATCTGCTACAGCCACATGGACTAGCACAATAACAATACTACTGTTCCAATATTCTGCATTTGTAATGTAACTCCTTACTCATTTCAAGGATGTTATTTAAGGTAAAATTATCTTTTTTTTTTTTGCTTGATGAGACATTCATTATACCCAAACATGACTTAAATGCAACTTATAGTTTTTTTAAAACAACTTTCCATTGTTTGCAACAACAACATTCCATTTGGAAGGAAAGTCACTCTTTTTGATAGCGACTTTACGCAAATACTGCCTGTTGCGAAAGGAGGGCTGAAGTTGTAGAAGCAGGGTTATCATCTGGTGTTTTTTTAAGCCAGATTTCTCAAATCTGGTTTGTTTTTTTATTGTTTGGCTTGGAATTTTTGTTTTGGTTTATTTTAGAAAATCTGGTTTAAATCTGGTTTATTTTAAAGTCTTTGGTCTTTTTTTGTTTGTTCTGGTATGTTTTTGAAAATCCTGTTTAATTCTGGTTTATTTAATAATAAATCAATTTAATCAAGTTTTTATTTCATGAAAAAAGTTAATTTGAGGGAAAGAAAGAGTTCCATTTTTTTCATTTTATAGAAGAACAATCAAGTATAAAATAAATGAAAGAAATGCTGACATTAAAATCTTAAAACGTTAAAAACTTTTACTTGTAAATATCATTCAAATGTTGTTTTTATCCCTTAATAGCCAAAAATGTTAGAAAATTCTTACATTCAAAATGACATTTTTTGAGAAAAATCTGCCTGTATTGAATTTTGTTTCCCAAGTTGAAAAGGCCATTTCAAATCTAAAATTATATCTTAAGGATGCAAAAGGTGGAGAAATTGAATATCATTGCTGAAATCGTCATTAATCATAAATTAGTTAACATTGCATCATAAGAGCGAGTCTAAAAACTTTTAAGAAAAATGAGTTTGTAAAAACACCGTTAAATTCTAAACTGCTTCGTGAGACCATTTAGATGTTTCCAGAGACCTAGACCTCTGCAATATCTTTGTTTACTGTCTTGGCTGTCTATGTGTTCCGTTTCTAACTATTTTGTTGAGTCTTTTCACAGGTCATCTGCATAAAAATCAGACTAAGAAAATATCAAATTAAGCCTTGCATGCAGTCTTTGGGTCAAATCATATTTAATAAGACAAAAGATTTTTTACCAGGACTTTGAAATAATTGAGTCAATTATTGCAGACGTTGGAAATGAAATCTATATCCATATGCAAGCAAAAATATATATATATTTTACAGGTTAATAATGTTGGATTTAGTATAGGTGTTTAGGAGTGAACTAATTTACCCACGCCACTTTGAAGGCTGGACTGGCACCCAATTAAACATTTACTAAGTCGTTCTTCTCCTCTTCCCTCACTTTCTTACAATTTAAATTTTAGTATTGCCCACTTTCATACGGGAAGGTCTGGGAACGAATAATTGAGCTGTAGGGACAAAAAGTATTATTGCGTTTGTTTACATATATATTACAGTAGTTTACATATATATTACATACATATATACATATATATTGCAGTATATATTACATATATATTACAGTAGTTTACATATATATTACAGTAGGTAGTTTAAAGTAGAGCGATATAAAGTTTAAAGAAAAGCGATACAAAATTTAAAGTAAAGTGATATAAAGTTTAAAAAGTAATAAAAAGTTAACTATTAATTTACTACTACTGTTTTAAAAGTATATTTGTAAATAGAGCTAAGTATTAATGTTGTAAACACTTCAACAGCTTCAAGAAAGATTTGTGTTGAATGGCTTGTAAACCACGGACTTGGTGTCACAGGCTCTGTTAAAGAATTGCAAGCAAGAATTTTGAAGTTTTTACCATATCCAAAATTAGTTGAAAAACTTTATCGAAAAGCAAAAAAAAAATTCTTGTTCTCAACAAGTTTGCATGTAGACGAGATACCACACATATCTCAAAATTGGACTGACAATGAAAACCTCTACCCTTATGTAAACTCTAAGCTTTTTAAAGAATACATTCACAAAAAAAGAGAGGGTACATTTGGACAACAGCAAAAAGCATACCAGATGTTAACAAGCAGAAAAATTAAATCTGTTAAAACGCATTCAGATAGCAATAGGGTATATGTAAGAGCTTTTATAAGAAAATCTTATGGCTACGATGCGCGTCCTGCTATTTTACTTTTTGTAGAAGGAACACCCCTAAAGGGTTATTGCGAATGTCCTGTTGGTCTTAGTGGACTTTGCTGTCATGTTTTAGCTATCCTTCTTTACCTAAAGCATTATGTGGACACAAAGACTACAATTTTAGAATTAACGTGTACACAAGTCATACAGAAATGGCATAAAATATCAAAAAAAGGCTCCGTTCCAATGGTCCCACATGTCATATTCCAATGGTCCCACTATGTCATATTCCAATGGTCCCACTATGTCATATTCCAATGGTCCCACTCATATTAAAGTAAAATCAGCAAGAAACAAGAACAAAATTGCTCCAGCAGATCCAGAAAGTTCATCTTTTAAAAGAGATGTTTTAAAAATTTAAGCAAAAAATTAAAGAAGGGCTGAATAAGCTACCCAATTTTGAGAAACACGTGTATGATACTCTTTATTCAGTAGATCTAGGATATGAATCATCACTAATGGTGCATTTAAGATTCAGATATGATCGTGAAAGTTTTAACTCTCAAGTTGATAAATTAAGTTCTACAAATGTAAAAAGTCGTACTCTGAATAAACAAACAGAAAACCCACAAGAATATCAAGAAAATTATAGTGAAATACCAACAATAGTGCAAATACTAAATCAAAATATCATAAACATTGAGGTAGGTTCAATTTCACCTGAACAAGGTATTGTTTTAGAAAAAATTAGTATGCAACTTTTAAATGAGCATCCTGTAATTCATATTAACTTGAAAAATATGATACCAACGCAAAGGCAATACAAAATCATATTAATGTCAAACAAAATACCCAAGAATGGATGGACACAAGAAAAGGAAAAATAACGGGGAGTCGATTACGAGCATTGCTAAGGATATATGGACAGGAAAAATTTACAAATTATTGGAAAATATTTAAGGAAGGATTAAACGAAAATGATTTTTATAACACATAAAACATTAAAAATTTTGAGCGTGGACATAAATATGAGTTTATGGCACTTCAACAGTTTGCAAAGATGTCAAAATGTTCTCCCGAAATGTGTGGATTTTTCTATCACCCAGATGATTTAAATTATGGAGCAAGTCCAGATAGCCTTGTTTCACATCAAATTATTTTAGAAATAAAAACACGAGCAAAAAAAATAGAGACAGTCCATTGATCCATTTAAAAAATCAACCTCAATATTACATACAGGCACAGCTTGAACTTCTATGTACAAAATCTAAATACTGCATTTTACAATCTTATCATCCAGAAACAGAGAACTCAAATTACTTTATTATTCAAATTAATTATCTACTGATGTCAGTTATAAAGGAAATCTCAGATAGCATTTTGCATTCAAATCCAATAAAAAAATGGCACCATCAAGAACATTCTTTGCTCACTACTCTTGAAAATAATATTGTGGAAAAAATTCCAGATTTTAAAGAACTAAAACCACTTAGATCGTACATTAAAGAACTTGTTGAAACATCAATTCCTCCATTAAAATTGGTTAAAATATTTTAAAATATTTTATGATAAAAATAAATAAGATAATATTATATGCTTATATATATTCACAAAATACTATTTATTACAAAATTCTTCCTTTGACCCAATAGAGCGCATAGTAAGGTTTACAACATGACATAACATTTTCCATGTTGAAGAAAGTAAGTCCATTTTTTGTAAAGGCCACACAGCATTAAGAATAGACCAATCACGTACGCGTCCTATGAATCTCTCTACATGAAACGGGTAGAAGCTATATCAAAATTACCAGCTATGTCAGCTTGTGGGAACTGATGGCTTGATTTCTGAGATGGACGGTTTAGATATATTCCTTTTGAAGCACATAAATCTTGAATTGAAAACCCTCTATCTGCCATAATTTCGTGTTCTTTCTCAACTAGTTCTAAAATATGAGATTGTTCTATTAATTCATTATCTGTGATGGAACCAGGATATATGTCTCCAAAAAGCAAACCTGATCCATGTGGAGAGATTCCAATTAAAGCTTTCCCTGTTGTACAGTTTTTATAACTTGAAAACATTAAAGTGTTTAGGAAAATTGTGAAAATGTGAAAACATTAAAGTGTTTTTTATAATTGCTTGGTTGTTGAAATTTAAATTCAGTAGCATCCACGACAATATCGGTTTCACCATGCCCAGTTTTTTTAAAAACAGAAGGCATCATCAAGGATATATAAGTGCTTTCAACCTTTAAATTTACCTCTGAAATTATTGCGTCTATAAATACAACCCACCCAGTGAAAATACGATACATGGTGGTTTCAGCAACACCCACCATAAATCCAATAACACCAAGATGAAGTGCATGTCTGCACAATGTTAAAACTGAAAACAACTCAGTTTTGTTATCAAGGAATCTGATTCCTGTACCTTTACAATATTCAATTAAGTGACAGTGTGGATCTACGCAATTATATAAGAGTTCAATTTGCTGGATAGATAGACCACATAAATATTTAAGTTGCTTTGGTTTGTCTTTAAGTTTGGAATATATAAACATTCCTTTTTCGAATTTGTCCAGTTTTTTGTTTAAAATTTGATTTCTTAAAGATAAACTTAAATATTTTTTATGTAATATATCGTTCTTTACTTTGTTTACTTTTTTTTCACTTTTAAGTTGTTTTATATAGTTGTTTGCGTTGTTTAGTTTTTCTTGAAGAATTTCATAAGCATCTGCTCCTATTTTTAATTTAGAAAATAACTGTTGACAACAGTTGTTTTATATAATAATATTATTATATATATATATATATATATTTATATATATATATATATATATATATATATATATATATATATATATATATATATATATATATATATACATATATATATACATATATATATATATATATATATATATATATATATATATATATATATGTATATATATATATATATATATATATATATATATATATATAAACATATATATATATATATATATATAAACATATATATATATATATATATATATATATATATATATATATATATATATATATATATATATATATATACATATATTTGCATAAATTTATGCAAATTTATGTATATATATATGTTTATATATATATATATATATATATATATATATATATATATATACATATATTTGCATAAATTTATATTATATAAATTTATGCAAATTTATGTATATATATATATATATGTTTATATATATATATATGTATATATATATATATATATATATATATATATATATATATATATATATATATATATATATATATATATATATGTATATATATATATATATATATATATATTTATATATATATATATAAACATATATATATATACATATATTTGCATAAATTTATATAGTATATATGTATATATATATATATAAATATATATATATATATATATATATATATATATATATATATATATATATATATATATATATATATATATATATATATATATATATATGTATATATATATATATATCTCCTTCTTTAACAAAAACTTCAACAATATAAAAAATACATGGAAAGGAATAAAAGAAATTATTAATATCAAACCCTCTACACCAATTAAATCTTACACTCTTAAGTCTAACGGTTACACTATCTCTGACAGTATGGCTGTTGCTAACATTTTTAACAAATACTATGAAACAATACAACACCCACCCAAAAGTAAAATGATTTCTTCTAAAAGTATCTTCTCTGACTATTTAAAAAATGCTAATTCGAATTCTTTCTTTCTTAATCCAGTGACTGAAAATGAGGTATCTAATTTAATAAAAAATAGTTTACAAAATGGTAAAAGTTTTGAACCAAATAGTATCCCCACACACCTTCTTAAACTTACTTCTCATGTTATTTGCAAGCCTCTCTGTACCATATTAAATAATTCTTTTAATAAAGGTCTTTTTCCAGATGTTTTTAAGATAGCCAAAGTTATTCCTATCCATAAAAAGGGTTCTCTAATGGATCACAGAAACTATCGACCGATTTCTCTTCTATCTAACATTAGTAAAATATTTGAAAAAGCCATGTACAACAGACTTTATAGCTTTCTTGACAAAAACCAATGTCTTTACAAACATCAGTATGGGTTTCGTAACAAACACTCCACGACTCATGCACTTATTAAAATAACTGAAACTATTAGAAATGCTCTTGACAATAAGCTTTTTGCATGTGGAGTGTTTCTTGACTTAGAGAAAGCCTTTGATTCTGTTGATCACTCCATCCTCTTAAAAAAATTGGAACACTACGGTGTTCGAGGTAACACTCTCCAATGGTTTTCATCATAACTTTTTAATAGATCGCAATTTGTCTCCATTAATGATGCCAAATCTTTTCCAATAAAATGCTCCACTGGTGTACCCCAAGGTTCTGTATTAGGACCACTGCTTTTCCTTATTTTTATAAATGATCTTAAAATCTCTCTAAAATTTTCAACGGCTTACCATTTTGCTGACGACACCAACTTACTCATAACTAACAAATCATTAAAAAAAATTAACAAACATATTAACCATGATTTATCTAACCTTCTTCAATGGCTGCGCTCTAACAAACTAAGTCTTAATACCAACAAAACTGAACTCATTATTTTCAAATCTAATCAATCTAAAATGTGTAAAAACCTAAACTTTAGACTAAGTGGACAAAAAAATTTTCCCTTACTTTCATTAAAATATCTTGGAATCCAAATTGACTCAGATCTATCCTTTTCCTCTCATCTTAAAAACTTAGCAGTAAAATTGTGTAGATCAAATGGGATGCTAGCCAAAATTCGCCACTATGTCAATTATGAAACACTACTTAATATATACCATGCAATTTTTGGATCTCATCTTAGATACGCTTGTCAGGTTTGGGGACAATGCAAGTCTAATGCTTTTTTAAGGTTATGTAACCTACAAAACAAAGCTTTAAAAATAATATTCTTTCAACAGTATCATTCTAACTCTGACATCCTTTACTTTCTATCAAAAATACTCAAATTATGTGATCTTGTTTATCAATTAAATTGTCTATTTGTCTGGAATCATAAACAAGTAAACCTCCCTCCGTCATTCTCCAATTTTTTTACCACTAAAAAAAGTTCTCGTTATTACCTTCGATCTTTGAGTAACTTTAAATTATCTATCCCAAATCGCTGTTCGGTAAAATACGGTGATAATTCTATTACAAACCAATGCGTAAAATCATGGAATAATTTACCTTTTCATTTTCAATCCCTCAACACTTTTTCACAATTTAAAACCCGTCTTTTTGACTTTTTGATAGAAAAATACGCAAATTAAAATCTTAGGCTTATAATAGATTATTATTACTATTGTTATTAGTATTATTATTATATGTGATGTTAATATTACTTACATTTTATTTGCATTTTTATTACCGCCATTATTACTTATTGGAATTGTTTAATATATGAATGTGATATATTACTGATGTAATCATTGTTATTGTCATTATTATATTTAATAGTATTATTGGTATTATTATAATCGTCTTCGTTTAATTTACATTATTATTATTGTTATTATTGCTATTATTATTATTATTATTATTATTATTATTATTATTATTACAATTGCTATTATTGCTATTATTATTACTATTATTATTATTGCTATTATTATTATTGCTTTTATCATTATTATTATTATTATTATTATTATATGATTGCTATTATTATTTAATTGGTGTTTACCTTTGATTAATACTCGTACTATTAGTAAACTACCATGAAATGTAAACTATTATTTCAGAATATATTGTTATTGTTATTGTTGTTATTGTTATATATATATATATATGTATATATATATATATATATATATATATATATATATATATATATATATATATATATATATATATATATATATATATATATATATATATATATATATATATATATATATATATCGTTTTATGTAGTGTTGTATTAAAATAATACACAACTCTTGTTCGTTGAAAAGTGCTCAATATTTAAGAAATTTATTTTGATTATATATAAATTTCATAACAGAGCGGTTTATAATTAAAAACGAAAAAAGAAAAAACTTTTATTATGGAACTTTAAGTTTCATGCCTAACGGCAATCATCAGCCATATATTACAAAATTTAAAATAGACGTTAAAATTACAATTAAAATTACGGTGGCGTGAGTTCTAATGACTCCATGGAAACAAAACTTTCAGTATCACGTGGCGTAAAAGTGACGTAAACCAATCAGGATCAATCTGCGGTATCATAGGAGGAAATAAGAAATAGTATTTATGTATATATATATAAATATATATATATATATATATATATATATATATATATATATATATATATATATATATATATATATATATATATATATATATATATAAATAAATATATATATATATATATCGTTTTATGTAGTGTTGTATTAAAATAATACACAACTCTTGTTCGTTGAAAAGTGCTCAATATATTCTTATTTCCTCCTATGATTTCCTCCTATTATATATATATATATATATATATATATATATATATATATATATATATATATATATATATATATATATATATATATATATATATAATATATATATATATATATATATATATATATATATATATATATATATATATATATATATATATATAATTTATGGTAACTTTGATATACGATTTTATATATTGTTTACGTTGCTACCCCTCTGCCATATAAGGCGCAGAATTACCGATAAAAGTACCTTGTTTGAGCATCGTAGAAGTGTACTTGAGCATCATCATTTTTCAATAAAATTTGGCAGGTAGTGAGAAAATAGATATATCTACAATTGCATATAGTTTTAAAAGTCAGCACTACATTCCTTCGATAGTAATTTAATCAACGAACAACAACATAGTTTTTGACACCAATAAACTTGATATAAACGTTAACAACTTCCGAAAATGAAAACACTAATATAAAGCCTAACTATTCATCTTTTTAAAAAGTATCTAAGATGATACAGAACTCTAAAAAGTTATAATACAAAAAACATTTTTACCACACTCACTCTAAACGGACTTCAAAAAACGTGGAACAGTTTTTAGCACGTAAAACGTATTTTTCCGCGTACCTACTGTTGTTTAGTTGGTTTACGTAATAATAAAGGAGGTTTCGTAACATAAATAGATCGGTTTGTGGGTTTTTTACGAACAAGACAAGGCTTAGACAAAGATATCATCATATCAAGCTTACGTTTCAGCCTTTTCAAACTTTTTTTTTCAGCTTCAGTCGCTTTTTGTGATGTAGTCATTTTGGTCAGAGCATTTGTGTATTTTCGTTCCATTATAGCAATTTGGCTTGGTGGTGCAGCTATGTCTGGAATATCAGTGCATAACTCTCTAATTCCAGATGAAAAATGTTCACAACAAATATGCCCATTTTTGAAATTCATTCCTTTTGTATGTAAAATTCGAGTATATTCTTTCTGTAAAGAAACATCTTTAGGAAGCCTGTAAAACTTAATACGT